GGACATTCTGGCTACTAATATTTTAGTTATTCAATGTTGAATGAATAATGAATAACATACTAAGTTTTACAAAAGGTTTTTTATAATAATTAGTGAAATTTAAGCGAATAAAAAATCGGAGCGAACTTTTGAAACACCCTGTACTACACGTTTTATAGTAGCAGCAAAGCAGTATAGTAAGGAAAACGCCGGAAAAGCACAATAAGGAAGCAAAAGACTGGAGCAAGAAAACAGGAAACTATCAAAGACTGAGTTTATGCTTCAAAAACCTTGAAGGACGGTTTTCTGGAAGAAACAGCAGATGGATGTTTGCATAGTTTAGGTGCCACTGACAAAGATATGACTCTCTATGGGTATTTCCGACGAAATCGAAGTCGCGGCGATTACTGTTGATGAAACGACGATGGTATAGAAATTAAAGCGACGATAGTGATGCCATTCTGAATCTGAGCAGGTTTGACAACTTTAGTCATGCAATGATAGCAAAGGAATCGGCCAAAAAGTGTACTACCCGTTCATAGTTTCTGTTTTGCGTATTAATTAATCCGTGATACTTTTTACATTTTCTCCTTTCCTTCTCGTCGAGTTTGAAAGCCGTTCTACCAGACAAAACGATTCTTGTTATGCGACGATTTTCGCTCAAAACCACTGATTTGAGAAAAAACTAACCGTGCACAGGCCTTCTGTTTGGGGAAAGGGCAAAAAACATGACGTGGAGAGGGTTCTCTTCCATCTCCTCGCGATTTTTTCACCCTTTCCCAAAACAGAAAGCCTGTTCACAGTCTAAGAAAAAAACGCGCAACTAGAACGACTTAACATTTTCGAATTGTGTGACAAATATACTGATAGATCTAACAATAAATATTTCTTTTTTATTTTCAAAGCCAATGGATTAGCTTTTGTTTCTGGGCCAGACAAAATAACGGTTAATGCAACGACAGGATCAAACCAAACATTCACCTGGAAGTTAAACATCAGTCAGGAACATAAAGACCGAGCATTAAAAGTCCTGTTTGGACCTTGGGATGGAAGCTACAAATTTGTGCGTCCAATCATAACGTTTAACCAAAACCTATTTGGAAATACCACTGTTGACAAGTCTCCGGAGAATCGTAAGTCCCGGCGTTTGTACTGGGTTGGAGATTTGAAGCGAGACTACTATATCGCCTTTCAATTTGTCAATATTCAACGTGATGATGCTGGCGATTATGGTGTGAAGTTACGTGTTGACAACTATCCTTATCGCCCCTTGACTTTACAAAGTTGGTTTACTCTCAAGGTTGAGGTACGAAAAAAACAATCTTATAGCTTTTTTTTCCATCCATCCATACCTCCTCTCCCCCCCCCCCCCCCCTCCCCTTTTACCCCGGGGGGGGGGGGGATTTGGGTTTGCGTCCGGGGGGTGATTTGTTTCTGGTTTTTTTTTTTTTTTTTTTACAGACCCTCGGCTTGCCCCACCGTTTTCTTTTTAGCTACGATACCCCCCAAATTTCCTTTTTCTTTTCACACCTGAGTTCTTTT